TATATATATATACATCATTTTCCACCAACAGAATCAAAACATTGGACAAATGTTTGTGTTTTTGTTAGCAGTATTCAAGCCTTAATGAATGATTTGTGCTATCCCCGGAGTGCTGCCCTGAGTTTCTGCATAACATTCTTGGCAGTCATTTCTCAGTTTCAGCAGGAATTCATTGTTTGTCTGTTGCCATTTCCTCTTCGTTGTGGTAGTTTCCATGTCATTCGATTTAAAATCTGTACAATATATGTTGTGATTTTGTGGTTTGTGAAAGTTCTTTTATGTCGGGCAAAACATGGCATTAAAGCTGATGATGAAATGACCTATATCTGACCCCCATGTGCACGGATGACGGACTTTAAACACATACGTCCTGCAGTTTTTAGTTTAGTTTAGTTTTTATGAGAGCCAGTCACAATGTGAGACACCTGAACACTGATGGAAATGATGTGTTTTCTGGTCAAAGTGGGTGCAAATGGAGAACAGAAACAYGAATGATGAATGGGATGAATCGGTGCAGCTCCTGCAGTGTTGCAGACTCTGTGCTGGTCTGTGAAGGTGAAGAGGGCGCTGAGCTGTACGGTGAAGCTCTGTTTTCCGGTTGGTCTATGTTCCCGCACTATGATCACAAACTCTGGGTTGTGACCAAAAGAATAAGATCATGATTACAGTACTTCCTGTATTCATGATCTTGTTCTTTTAGTCAGCTGAGGTGGTTCAGACATCTGGTAGGGATGCCCTAGAGAGGTTTTCTGGGCATGTCCAGCTGAGGAAGACCCTAGGAGACACAATAGAGAGACTATGGCTTTGTCCAAATTCAGGAGCTGTAGCCTTCAAAGGCCCAATTTCAAGGACGATCATGTCAGAGTGATGCACTGAAGGCTGTCCAAATTTGAAGACTCCACAAATTGCGGCTCAGAAATGCGTCCTACTTTTCACCAATTTGAGGGACATGTCCGGTGTATCTTTCTCAGTCCACCCTATCTCAAGGTGCATTGCAGGCCAACTGGAAGATTTTTTTTTGCTTGTAATGGCAGATGAAGCAAGAGATAGGAGTACAGTTTTAAATAAAAATATGGTGTTGCAAAAATGGAAAGCATAATACGGTTGTGTTGTTAGACTTTTGTCCCATGCCTAGACACGTTTTTTACACGATCCTTGTCAAAAATCAAACAAGCTCATATAGTTTCTTATGTATTGCCTCTAAGCCAATTTTGTTAATTTGTAATATCAWTATAGTAACATTTTGCTAATTTCGATTTTTTTTTCGCTCTTCACTGATTCAGCTAGGCGACAGGCCAGTGTAAGGTTGTGAATAAAGCTGACCATCCAACTAGTCAGACCAAATTCACAGCTACTCACTTCCGGTCTTTGCAGTCGACAAAGGACCCAGCCTACATAGACCGGTTAGGCTGGGTCCCTCGAAGGACACAGTCCCTGAATTTGGACACAGTCCAAGTCTCTTGGCTGGCCTGTTAGTGCCTTGGTGTCCTCCCATAGGGCTGGCTGTGGAAAGCGATGTTTGAGTCTCCTTGCTCAAGCTGCTGCCCCCGGACTCCAGAACAAGCTGCAGATAGTGGAGAGTCATGATTAACAATCATAATCAGCTTGCAAGATCACAAARAGCATTATTTGCAAGGTTTGACTTAAGTGTCTTTTCCATCCATCTATTTTCTTTACCCTTTTATCTTTTCTGGGTTGCAGGGAGCTGGTCCCTGTCTCCAGCAGTCACTGTGTGAAAGACAGAGTGGACATGTCACAAGTCCATCATGGGGACACACAGACACAACCGTTCACTCCCTCACTCACACCTTGGGACAGTTTAGAGCAGGGGTGTCAAACTTATTTTCACAGAGGGCCACATGAGCGTTATGGTGGCCCTCGAAGGGCCAGCTGTAGTTAACCTTGACGTTTCATGTTTAACTTTGACTAAACASTGTTTTAACARGTCCTCTTTTAAACYCTGAAAAGTACGGAGCCCGCGAGGGGACATGGGAGATTTTTTTTCTTTTGCGTTACCTCGCAATACTTTTGTGTTCCCTCGCAAAAGTAGTTTATCYCTGTTGTGCCTGCCGGTTTATTAACAAACTCACATGTTCACCATTAGCAGGTTAGCCTACTGCTGTAATTCAGCTTCAGAATGAATAAATCACAGCCACGCATGGAAGTATGTCATATGCTGATATTTTAACACAGTGCAGCCACGCAACATCAATGTCACTTTCACGAACTTGTGGCGACACATCCTGTTTTGGTAACCAAATATTTCAAAATAAAAGTCTGATTTAATTCAGTTCATATACAAAACAATCTTTTGCGTGGGAACGCAAAACAATATTGCATGGGAACGTAAAAGTATATTGCGTGGGAACGCAAAACGATATTGCGTGGGAACGCAAAACGATATTGCGTGGGAACGCAAAACGATATTGC